CCAATTCATAAAGATCTCTATTTACATAATCGAAAAATGCACCAGAAATCGATATTATTATGTATTATGTGTAAAAACAACTTTTATACATTTAGTGAATTACTGTGTCATTTATGCCCTGGAACTTATGATTCTGATTATTTAATTAAGTATAGGTGTTGCTTTTGTAACATAGACTCTATATCTTCATCATTTAGATTAATGGTGCATCTTCGAAAGATACACCATACCTGTGATGTATGCTTAGAATTTTGCCAAAGTCAGGCAAAGCTATCCAACCATGTTTGGAAACATAAATTACATCATTATTGCTTTCGTTGTGGCATTGCATATAGAAATAAACCAGATATTAATAATCATTTATTCTGGAAACATGGGACTGAGAGTGTGTTATGTAAAAAGTGTCTTCAGAAAAAATGGCCTCATGTATATCATTTCTGTAACCCTCCAGCAGTGTTTATTTGTGATGAATGTAATTTACAATTTACAAGAGCTGTTTGTCTTAAAGTGCATAAAAGACTTCACTCAAGTGAATTCCCTCATTTGTGTACTGAACAAGGGTGTGAAGAAAAATTCATTTCGAAAAAGCTATTAAAAAAACACATAGAAGACCATACAAAAAAAACATTCATAGAAAGTCTTGGTGGAGAGAAACCTAGTGCCCCTAGCAGTAATAACGAAGCACCTAAACAGATACCCGTTATTGATTTAGTCAATGATACTCCCAAGATTGTGGTAACTGAAACCAAAACTGAGACAGATCCTGAACTTACTCCTAAAAAGTTAAAAAAGAAAAAATTAAAAGACAGAGATGCTTTAATGCTGGATGTTAATCTACCAGCTTTAAATTTATCAGAAAGTGATAGCAGTGATGAGTCTGATAGTGGACTTCCACCTTCTGTAAACGATGACCTGCAGGATATACCTAAAGTGGAAATACCAGACCTATTAGATAAAAAAGACGAGAGTAATTGTACTAATGCGGATAAAAACACTGAGGTTGATTTACCTAAACATGAAGAAAAGCCTGTATCCAATGAAGTTTTTAAACCTGTGCCTTTTGAAGATGAAAAGCCTGAGCCTGTTTTAGAAGAAAAACCTTGTGAACAACAAGTTTTAGAAATATGGGATAACTTCCAAAAATATAATATGGCTAACAATGTTGAGCAGCCAAAAGAAAAGACGCCACCTCCTCCAAGAAGAAGACATGTTTGTGAATCTGACCATGACTATTGCTTGATACCAACAGATATGAATGGTGATGAAGAATCATTTAATATAGATAAAAAGAAAGCTAAAAAATCTCCCAAAAAAAGACATGGCGATTTTTCATCGTCTAGTAGTAGCAGTAGTGATAGTGACTCCAGTTGCTCCTGTGGTTCAAACTGTAGTTGTTCTTCTAGTAGTGGCTCATCTTCTTCAAGCTCTTCTGACTCTGATTCATCAGATGAGTCTGGAAATGAACGAACAAACCCAAGAAAGATGAGAAAATTGTCTCGGAAAACACTTCAAAAGAGAAGAATGAGCAATGGATCTAATGTAGATGTCATGGGTATGACAGAAACTCCTGTCCTTGTTCCAGAGAAAACAGAACCTACAATTGCCGAAACTGACCTAGAGACAGATGAAAGTGAAACTGATGAAGAATTTTATGACGCAAATCCTCAACTTATCGCAAATCAAATACAAATTGAAAAACGTAACCAGCAAATTCCCTCCTCTGTCGGCCTCACTGATGGAATTGATATTTCAGAAGTAAAGAGTTGCTCAACTCCTGTTAAAGAAGAAAGAGAACCAAAACAAGAACAAGATGAAAGTAAAGAAAGATCTAGCAGTAAAAAGAAAAGTAAAAAGAAAAAGAAATCTAAAAGCTCAAAAAAACATGCACCTATTAAAATTAACATTCCTAAAGACATTATTACAAAATCGGAACTGGAAGCAGCACCACCCCCTTTGATTCCGAATAAAATAACAATATCGCTTCAGTCAAATACAGTACAAATTCCAAAAGCAACAGAACCACCACCTACTACTTTGAATGTAAAATCATCACATCCATCCAAACCAAAAACTCCGGGATCTGCGGCAGACAATAAGAGAGCCTCTAAAAGAAGAAGAGTTCCTAATAAGTTTTATGGTTATTCAAGTGATGAAGAATCAAATACTCCACCAGCTCTGAAGCCACAACTGCCACCAAAACTTGAATGGAGAAAAGAAGACCTGCCTTCGCCCGCCACGCATAAAACTAAAAAAGAAATACCATCAACAACTATACCACAAAAACTATTTAATTATACTGAAACAATAAGGCTGAAAGCCCCCATACCAGATCCTGAACCACCACGATTCTTGATGAACTCTGAATCAATGGAATCCAGTGATTCTGATTCAAGTCGCGAAGGGGCTCTAGAAATATACCAACCTAGTGTACAAAATACAGCACTTCCACCGCAGTCGTATTTGAATTCGGGCACATCGAGTTTACCATATGCTTTCCAAAGACCAGCAGTCCGAGAGGCTAAAGAGGGCGAAAGCGTGTACTGCTACTGCAGATGTCCCTATGATGAGGTGTCAGAAATGATAGCATGCGATGCCGAAGGCTGTCCTATTGAATGGTTTCACTTTGAATGTGTTGGTATCATGGTACCGCCTAAAGGCAAATGGTACTGTCCAGAATGTAGGAAAAATCAAAGTCTCTCAGGTTACAGATAAGTCTTAACACAATTTAGGTGTATATAACATATTGTTATCTGTATATAATTTATTGACGATTGTAGATAAATTAGCTTTACCTGTGTATATCTTATATTAGTTAGGTTGTATGTGTAAGTTTAGGATATTAGGTCTGAAAATTGTATCTTTGTTATTATAAAAGTACATGTTATGCTTGATCCTGGCTATGCGGCCAATACTGTAACCTGTCAAATTGTTAATTGAAATGAACTCAGCATCAAAACAAAATATAAAGCAATTTTTGATACCAATCTGTATCTTTTTTTAGGTTAAATCCTTTACCTTATTAAACAGAATTTTGTATTTGTTAACACCTGCTAACTTATTTTAATTGAGCTTTAATAAATCAGTATATATATATATATAATAGAAAGCTTAAGTAGAAGTTAGGTCAATTCCATATTGTTTGACTTTATGATTTATCACAGAATCTTAAGGTGCAAATTACTCTCCTAATGAGTCCATATTTAATATTTTTCTAATTCTAAATGGTATTTAATACCACGAATACAAAGCTGATAAAATATAATGAGATTCAGTCCGGTTTGTAACGAAAACCTTACTCATATTTGATTCATAAGCTTTCAAGGCCGAGTTTTAAATCGATAGTATGGTATGTATTATTAAAGTAGTGTTGAATAATAAAAATACGGATTTTCGTAACAGAACTATTGTGTTTGATAACAACATATAGGAAAATATTTTACATTACACACACAATAACATAAAGATAACTTAATAGATATCGCTACTGCTACATAATCCATAAAAATAATAAATATTCCGAATTCTCTGTGAGCAATGAAATGCAAAATCTGTTCAATCATTTACATGTCAATAGTAAGAAACATCCATAATTTTATCTATAAAGTTAAATAATCCAGTTACAAAAATAATATTAAATAAAGGACACTCCAAAGAGTATACTAATTTAAAAAAACTATTCAGACAATATTGAGTAGGTATTGTGATTTCAAAAGAGCACTGACAATGTCAACGTATTTTAACCGATCTCTATGGAAGCTCGTTTTTATTAATATTAAATTATTAAAAGTGTGTTAATATGTCCAATCTTCCTAACTTCATAGAACTTTGTCCTCATAAAAGTACATGTAGCAGATTCGGTATGTCTAAAGTAATTAAGATTCTACATTTGAAAAATGCAATTTTCGATAGGTATCCCTTATTAATTACTACGTATAAATTACATCTTTAATCACTAGTCTACGCTTAGCACAACTCTTGCAACTTATGTGGAACGTTGTATATTTTATTACATTCCTACAGGCGCTTTTTTTTTTGTATACTTGTTTTCAACCATAATCAGATGATACTATGTAAAAGCAAACAGTACGTATGATATAAAGGCTTATTGCTATGTACGTAAGATTCAGTTGTGAATTGTATATATATATTATAGATGAAACTTAGATAATTAATTAGGCAACTGGTAATAGTTAATCTATTAAAATTAAGTCACTTTGCTATTTTAGTAAACCTAGATTTGCGGCCTGTTTTTTTATTTTATTTAAGAAATTCCATATGACTAAAATTTGTTTCATATTAGGTACCTATTCAAGCAACGAATAATTTATAGGCTGACCAAAATGGTGTTGTTTTTTTTTCATTAATAATTTTTGTCCGTTTCTATAATACATAAAACATATTGTAGAATTGATCTTCGATGAAATTTTCAGCGATATTCAAAATATTTTACGACTAATAAACTGAAAGGAAGTTAAAACATCAAATCGACTGCCTATGCCTGTCATTTTATTTCTAGAAAAAAAAATAGGTATACAATTACTTTTCAAGAACGCCGTTTTGATTGATTGATTTATCGACTACCTAAACTGTGGTTTGCCTAGGGTTTTCTTTAGGGGCAAAGGGTGATATGAAATTAGTTTTGTAAACATTGGAATAAATGCGCATTTATATTCTTTATTGAAATATGTACCATCTCTTGTCTGACGAGTTTATCTCGTCTGACTTCTAATTTGTCTGGTTACAGGAAATACGCATCCTAATTTAACTGTCCATGCAGCAATAATAAAAGAAACAATAAAACCTCTTTGGGAGGGTAAGTAAGCTTTTTGTAATTAATACAAGAGGTACATTTGAAATAATTCTAAGATAATTCACATCTGAAATGAAAGTATACCAAAGAATATATATTATTTTTTAAACAATAAGAAAAGACACAGTGAAGAAAGTTATTCATGACATATTATATTGTTACTTTTCCTCGAATTTCCGCAAATATTCCATTACCATGGCAACTCGGAGCCATCATATTGAAAGAATTTTCCAGTGTCTTTCTCACTTAAATTGTCGATGGTTTTAAAAATGCCCGAAACGCTCGTATCAACATCGAGAGGTGCATTTTTACCACCCATGTCGGTTTTGACCCACCCTGGGTGTATAGAAGCAACAAGAATTTCGTCTTTCTTTAGGTCAATACTCATAGATTTGGTTGCTGCATTTAAAGCTGCCTGAAATTGTAAATCCAAATAATTAAATCACGTCTGAAAGTGTAAAATTTTTCATACTGGTTAATACATATTATCATTTTCTTCGCATTACCTTTGAACATCTGTATGGGTAGAAACCACCTTGGTCATTTTGAGCTATGGATCCTAAAATAGAGCTCATGTTAATAACCGCAGCTTTTTGTGCTCCAATGGGTTCAGCGGAATTAGTTACCGCTGCTTGTCTTAATAATGGAACCAAGGCCTAAAAAATGCATTACAAATTTGTCATAACTTAACACTTCGATAGATTTTAACCAGATGTTTTTTATATAATATTTGTTGGACTAATTATTAGCGTTTATATGCTGATATAGACCATATCTTTCTGAGGTAAAAAAACAATAAGAATCAGAGAAAATATGAAATGTATAAAAAGGTTACTTTCGTATTTGACATTTAAAAATGATATTGATATACCTAGACTTACCTTAGTAAGTAAAATTGGTGCGATTGTATTAACCGTAAGATTTTCCAAAAGCTGATCTGCTTTTACTAGATTCAGTTTAGTGAATCGTGTGCTCACCCCAGCGTTGTTTATCAATACGTTGAGACCACGGTTTCCTACAACTTTTTTTATTTGCACAGCTACATCATCTAATGTTTCGTAGTTTGTTACATCTAAAATATTTAATTCGTTGATAATTTTGAGTGATCATGATACATGATGCAATTCATAACTATTACTTAGTATTAAGTCGGTCATAAAATGAATACGTTACCTAACGTCAATATGTGTAGTTTCTTATGTTCATGAGAAAATGATTTGAGTTCCTGCAAGGTAAGAAATTGTTATAATGTTGACCAAAGCGGATTAGTATCCTTAATATTTTTGCCAACTAGTGATAGATGTTGATTTTTATAACTTGCATTTTTTTTTTCAAATTGTCTCGAACCTTGTAACTGCAATGTCATCCTAGCGTACAAAGAGTACAGAGGAGTAACGTCATCAACATGACGAATTTGACAAGTCATCGTTATTAAGCCAAGTGTTGCCTACATAAATCGCTCGTCTTTTGCATTTGCCTCCCTTCTCTTTCTTTATCTTGGAATTGTTCTGTTAAATATAACTACGCACTTGGGCTTCGACAGTTTAAAAAGATTTCAAGTGTAATATAAACGTGACTAAGTGTTAAGGTGAATATTAAAGTGAAAAAACATGGCACCAATAGGTAAGTCATAAAATTAGTACTTACTTCTGAAACATTGCGACAGGTTGCGAAGACATTTTCTACTTTGTCGTTTTTGAGTAGAAATTTTACCATTCCATAGCCTAAGCCTCTGTTTGCACCAGTTACTAAAACAGATTTCATCGTGAAGTAGTTCTTTTCAATAAATTAATGACGTGTGGAACTTAGGTTATCGTGTTTCTGGATCGACCTCTTTGAATATAATTTTCCTGTCATTTACAAAATTTGTACTACGTCAAAATGACAATTTTTAATAAATTTGTGAGGATACGTAATTTTATGAGGCCATATAATGGGGCCGGTAGTTTTGTTGTGTTGGCGAAGCGGACGTTTTCTAGTAAGTTCATTAAAATCCCTTAGCCTTGAAGTAATTATCTGAGTAGGTTTAACATAACCTCATGCAATGCCAGTGTTTCACAATAATTAGCAACTATTTAGAGTATATAAGTAATATTGATAGAATGTATGTGAATTTCTAAATTTTAGAAAAAATAATTTCTTTTGAATGATGTTCCTGAACATTTTTATACAAATATTGTGTCTTGAATAGAATTTAGCTAGAACTTAGCTTAAAGCTTTCATGTTGAAAAGTTGAACAATAGGTTTAAAATTATAGTACAAATTAAAAACCATTATAGAAAACAAACCAAATTTCAAGTAAGCACACAGCTTTGGAATGTTTTTTTAAATTAAACTATACTTTGCATTAGAATCACAATTAATTTAAATATAACTTATGAAATTTCACCCAATTTCTGTTTGTTTTTAATATATTTAGCTGATAGATTTGCTTTATTTATTGAATAGGTTAGATATGTTGTAGGCGTAGCCCAAATTCAGTTCTATCATTAACTGAACAACCAGGTACAATTTGGTTATGGTGATATTGTATTGTTTTGTTTGTCTAAACAATATTGCCTCATGTTCATGTTTCAGTCAAATGTCTCTGTACTTACAGTGTTTCATACATGTCACATGAAAATAAATGATATAAATTATGAACTTGTGTTGTAATATAAATTTAAATAACTTACAACTTTTGATATTTACTTGGATTTTTTATTACAATCTATAGTAAATTTTAATTAGTGCTTGGGATATTGTAGATGGGGCATTTGACTATGATTTGGTGGTGATTGGTGGAGGGTCAGGGGGTTTGGCATGTGCCAAGGAAGCAGTAAACCAAGGTGCGCGAGTAGCTGTATTAGACTATGTAACTCCGTCACCACAAGGAACCAAGTGGGGCCTTGGGGGGACATGTGTGAATGTTGGATGTATTCCAAAGAAGTTGATGCACCAAGCAGCAATACTAGGAGAAAGTATACATGTAAGTTCTATTACAATTTTGTCCTAATATTTATTAGTTTTAGGGTAATTTTTTTAAAGTATATTTCTTATAGTATAACAGCCTCTGTTTACTCTGGATATAAACTTCTAGAAATAGTTTTTTTTAATAAAACAACACTGCAATTATTTCTATAAAGCAATGCTCTGCAGCAAAAATGTCAAAGGTCAATTGAGTTTATTGTAGACAGACAAATTTTCTCTTATCTCACAAATGTTTTAATTTTCAATAGTTCTTGACCAAGGTGTTGTGTAATGTGGAAAATGCTATGATAATAGAGATTAAGTGTGCTGCAGATTATATAAAATTGATAAATGATTATTGAGATATTTTTTTTGATAAACATTCTGGTTTTAAGCAATAAATTAAATATATTTTTTTTAAAAGCATTAATTCATGTAGAAAATATGTAACCCTTATATATTTGAATATTATATTAACTATTTATAGAACTTGTATATGGCTGTTTTCTATATATAACTTTCATTCCTGATTATAACATTTGATTATAGAGATTGGTAAGTGTTCCTGACACCCCCACCATCAAAACCTTCCCGATTCCTTCCTGTTCCTGGATAACAAGTCGGTAATATTATAAATATGTATTAGTATAAGTAAATAAATATATAATTTTGTTACAACTATAAATGAGACTACATATTATTGTGATGAACTTCTAACCCTAATATCAATTTTGAATAAAATATTACATTTAAATCTAAACCAACAATTATATTTTTTATATACATATAATAAAGCCATTAAGAATATTATGTAACTGAGATAACTGTTATGTTTCCTTTTAGTGATTACTGTATTGTTAAATATTCTCTTTGTCTCACGATGAAATTCATGCACTTATTTCTAAATGTTGACTTTATCCTATATAATAGTTATGGCTAAGTTTTATATTATCTAAATAATTCTAAATTCAAAAGGCATTTCACATACTGTCCGATTTAGGATAATATTCAGAAACAATACTTAGCGGTAAGTGTTTCTATATTGCTCCCTGAATATTACCCTTAGTTCTATATAGATGTTCTGTATGGTTTTTGGCACCGCAAACAGTTTTAGAAACCGCACTCGTATCTATATTGCCGTGTCATACCAATTTGATGTTATCGTGTCGAGGTACAGTAGAATAATCAATATAATCATTTTATTATTTTTACATGGAATATAAATATTTTGATGGCATGAAATAGTTATTGTTGCTTTTTTTAATAAAGAATTATATCCTTGATAAGAAATAAGTACATTACATTTTGGATTTACGATTTTGATAGAATGGTGAATACATTTTTAGAATGTCATCTTAAATCAACGAAATAAATTTGAAGAATTGCCGAGTCAATATTTATGAAAGTATTTTATGTCTGTAGAAAAATATAGTATGTTAAAAAAAGAACATAACTATAAAACTCGTAATAAGACAAAATTAGTGCGCCAACCACGGCTGTATAAAACGTGTAATTCTTTCCAAAGCATACGTTTTTTTTAATTATAGATATAAATCTACTCTGCTTTATTAAGATTACCTTCCATTGACAATATTTTACGAACCTTGTAATAGATAGATACATAAATGGTTTTAATTTACAATGAATGAATCACTATTTGTGCAGAGCTATTTTTAAAATATGCAAGTCATAGCGACTAATACTTCTTTTTATCTTATGCTAAATGCTTTGAAATGCTGTGAATAAACAACAGAAAGATAATTGTGACATTCATAGATCAGTTGGGGAAGGAAATTTATTCTAATAAAACGCTACGATATTGGTGTAATAGAAAAACAATAAATATTAAGTTAGTTTTAGTCAGCAGCTGATTGATTCGTGATGCCAACCGCTACCAAATGTTACCCTTAAGACCAACTTCGATGGATCGCTCGATTAAACCCCTAGTGTTTGTTGTACACTTGGTTTGAGAGGTAATTTCAAATATCCATCAAAATACATTCAAATAGTATTAAATAGCTGTTGTATTGATCTTGGTGTATTATAGCCTTTTTGGTATCTTTGGGTTTTATATTTGGTTTAGTTTATTGGTTGGGTTTAGAGGCCTAATATTTAAAAAAAAAACTTGAATAAAGTATCCCCTAAATAAATCAAATCCCCTAACAAACCCCTGGCCATCTTGATTCTTCCTAAATTCATCACTGCAGTAGCCAGTAATGTTAGTTTTTCACACCATTGAGACTCTTTCCAGAAATTGCAATGTTTAGGCCGCACCAGGGAGTTTAATTAACTAATATGCTGTACTGTTAATTAAAACTACGTGGAACTATCATGATATTTAAGTATAACGTATGTGTATACGTAAAAACCTATTTATAAACATATTTTAAGGATATATGGAGTTAGTTTCCGTATCTCAGTTGCGTTGGGCTTATCCCGCTGAGCTCGGACAGACTTCTATTTCAGAATTTATTAGCCAACATCATTAGTCGTAATGTTAAACAATGTCATGACAGTCAAGTTACGCAGATCCATTGAATTCCATTTCCCTTGATGCAGCAATCGTAAAAACTATGTACGTAAGCTATGCTTGTATTTTATTTTGTACAAAGTTTGGGGATATACTTGTCACACGTCACACGAAACCTGCACTGTGGACGCCCACTGCCCTACCTAGAAGATGCAGTATGAGTCAAGCAGACGGAGGAATTTGAGCGTCTGTTTATAATTTTCCAAGCAAGTAGGTGTGTGTTACTTTTGGCCGTTGTAAAACTTACCATGTATTATCCTTTGCGAGCAAGTGTTAACTGCTCAAATCTGGATTGAACTGAACCGAAGATTCGAATCCCATAGTCAGCTTAATGGGAGAAATAAAACATATGTACTGTTTACAAACTTGCTACGATAATAACTTATATTGAAAAGAAGGTTATTGCTAGCAATGTGGTTTTAAAGTTTTATTTTATATTAACCTATGCGCACGACAATTTTCGAAGACTCGTGACATTATAATTTACATAAATGTTGTAATTATGTTGATAGACCGTACCAAATCGTTAGTACGAATTGCATCTACAATGAATACAATCTTATATATAAAATTCTCGTGTCACAATGTTCGTTCCCATAATCCTCCGAAACGTCTTGACCGATTCTTATGAAATTTTTTATTCATATTCAGTAAGTCTGAGAATCGGCTACTATCTATCTTTCAAACCCCTAAGTGACATGGGGGGTCCACCCCAATTTTTTTTGTTTTTATTTTTTTATCCAGAATACAAAAATACATACAACCCTTAATTTTTATTATTGTAGATATTTATATTGAACTATAAAAAAATCCTAGAAATAAAATACATGGCAAAACAAACGTTTGCCGGGACAGCTAGTGTTACTATCGAAAAGTATAATACGTCTAATAATTGCAGTGTTGTTTTCCTTGTTAACATTCCTTAATTAACTTATTCAATAGGAATATTATATATTTATAGAATTTCCGCTTCTGAATAGAATAATAATTATGGTGATTATTCAAAATTTACTTGAATGACTCACGGATTACTATGATGACGTAAAAGGAAAAATATATTTATTTATTAAATTTTACCACATCATACATAGTACTAAATCTGAATAGTATTATTGAAAGCAGTGGCGTAACAATAGGGTGACAGGGCTGGCAAAATGGCCACGGGCCCCCGACCCAAGGGGGCCCGTGGCATTAATATGAAGCCTCAAATACGCATTGGGCTAGCGTGGGGACTACAGACCATTCCCTCTCACTTAAAAGAGGAGGCCTATGGCCATTAGTGGGACATATACAACGTGTAATTGAGTACGCTGAATATATCGAAGTTTATTTAAATTAAACTGAGTACAACGTGTCGATTTTTACTGATAGGGCCCTATCAAAAGAATTTGCCACGGGCCCCAGATGGTATAGTTAGTTACGCCACTGATTGAAAGTAATGTGAAATTATTGTATCCCAGCCAATACCTAAATACATATATACAAAGTTAACAGTATTTTTTTAAATTCCAGGAAGCCGTAGCATATGGTTGGCAGGTCCCAGCATTAGATCAGATCAAAATAAACTGGACAGCACTCACGGAATCAGTACAAAATCACATTAAATCCGTCAACTGGGTAACCAGAGTTGACCTTCGGGATAAGAAAATTGACTATATCAATGGCTTGGGTGAATTTAAGGATCCGCATACAGTTGTCGCGACGATGAAGAACGGTAGCAAGAAAGAATTGACTGCAAAGAATGTTGTGATAGCGGTGGGGGGAAGGCCTCATTACCCAGATATTCCCGGCGCAGTGGAATATTGTATAAGCAGTGACGATATATTCAGCTTGGGACACCCCCCTGGCAAAACATTGGTGATTGGAGCTGGATGTAAGTTTCTTTTATTTCCTGAACAAAATAATCCTTTTCAGAGTTTGGAGGGGGGGGGAGGGAGATTTTTTTTTTTTTTTTAAAAATAAATTTCCCACTATCCCTGACTCTTGTGGATTTAGATTTTAGAAACTATGGACATACAAAGAGATTTCCAATATCATATTTATCCAACACTAAATTGAAATACATAAATTTTATTATAAAAAAGGGGGGCGGGGGGGGCCCCCCCCCCCCCCCCCCCCCCCCCCGAGGAGGGAAAAAAAAAACACCCCCCCAACAAAAAAAACCCCCCGGGGGGGACCGGAAAAAAAAAAAAAACCCGGAAAAAGCTCGGGTCCTGTTTTGTTGCTCGAGATCGCACCTGGAGGCTGCCGAAACAGGACATTCTGGATTTTCTGACAGAGCGAGTATTTAGAGCGAGTATTTAGGGACACTAAATTGAAATGAACTAAAATGCTTTCTCTGATTTTCTTTCTACACATAATCTCTTCAAGCTAGCATACTCCACCCCATGTATCCACACATTTATCTTTAAAAACATGGGTTTAAATTAGGGATGCATCCGATACCGATATATCGGCGATAATTTGGGATTGCCGCTATATCAGCATCGGCGATATTTTAAATGCCGATACAGCGATACTTTTCAAATTTCGCGCTTTAAAAAAGTAATGTAAACGCGAATTTTGTTTGATCTAGTTCAACGCACAGACTATCTATGCCCGGGGGGTTTAAATCAGTTTGTTGTCTCTCTCACTCGTTTTGTGTATTCCAATTCGCTAGACTCTTAACAGTTATTTTATTTAATATATATAATTTTTATTTTTAATTCTTAATTTTAATAACTTTAATCTTATTCTAGGTTTGTGACTGTTTATATTTTTTTTAAATTCTAACCAAACTTTATATATTTTAACTTAATTTAATTTTAATTCATTAGGTGATGGTATCGGTATCGACGATATTTCTATAAGAGTATCGCCATCGGTACCATATCGTAAAAAATGCGTATCGATGCATCCCTAGTTTAAATGTTAGGCCCACAGTTAAACACTTCCTTCAGAAAAATATAGTTAAATATCAATGGTTGTACTATTAAGTCCATAAAGTACACAATAAAAACTAATACATTAAAATATTTTTTTTATCAAACTTGATTGTTGTTTCGATTATTTTTAATTTATATTTCCAGACATCGGTCTCGAGTGCGCCGGCTTCCTCAACTCCCTTGGTTTCCCGGCAACAGTGTTGATCCGTTCGGTACCTCTGCGTGGTTTTGATCAGCAAATGGCTTCGATGGTCACAAATGAGATGGAGATGAAGGGAGTCCAGTTCCACCACAAGTGCATACCTGTCTCAGTTGAGAAACTGGAGACTGGACAGCTGAAGGCAAAGTGGCTGAATACCGAGACACAGAAGGAGTGAGTATTATTGTATTAGTGAACTCGTTTTGTTATTAGATTGAAACTTTCTATATAATCTATATATATAAAAGGAAAATGGTCTTCGTTTGAGGCTCCTTCACGCCTAAACCACTGATCGTATCGACATGAAACTACCACCATTCGATGCGAAATTTTTCCTAGATGGTTTATGGCTATTTATTTATTAAATTCCATTTATTACGTTCCTTCATTTTTTTATTGCTGTTTTACTTTTATGAAAATTTATCCATACGGACTTCACCGCGGAAACATTCGGGGAGGCTTCCTAGAACCTCTAAACGTCAACATCTGTTAAAAACTCGATTTTCGAAATATTTCAATTTTCTTAGCGGGAAGTTAAAAAGAAGAATAATAAAAATATGAAAAAAAAAAAATAATGAAACATAAAATTTATTTTAATTCGTCCAGCAAAGCGGGCGCGAAACGGCTAGTATATTATATATATTTTCTATTATATCAATATTCTATATTACCCAGATAATTCCTACGGTCAAAAACAAAGAATTAAATTAATCCTTCTCCTAATAATAATAATAATATTAAGCCTCATTTATTCCATCATCCAATCACAGATATCAGATATACACGCTTACAATTTTATACAGAAATATATATTTTATTTTCCAAGGAACTCATAGAGTATATGCTATATAGCCCTCCCCCAACTGGCTCCATCTGTCTCTATCTTTAGCATTTTTCTCCATATCTTCCCCACCACCTTCTTTAATCTCGTCAGACTACCGTGCAAGAGGGCGACCTCTCCTTCTTTTCCCTGGTGGCCCTTTCCACCTTCCTCTCTCCTAATAGTACCAATGAATTTTCTTTTATTACCGAGTGAAAAATAATGTAAGCAAGTTACCCTACCTAAAATCTTTTTAGCTTTTTACATGTGTCCCTTATTCCTCCTTTAATAAAAAAATACCCGTACAGGTGAATCATTTTTCACAATAAAAACCGGAACTGTTACTATTGGAAAAAAGATTGATGGTTTCATAATTAATCAAGTCTGATATGCGTTTTTCCCAAGGGCCATTAAGTCGTTGCGGGACTCATAAAATAGCCTAAGGTTTCTTTTAGCAGATCAACATTAAAGCTTGGTAGGGAAGTTTGGTTCACTTCAAATTCTCAAATTCAGCTCATAAATGATGATTTTTCAGGAGCGAAGATGTATTTGACACAGTACTGATGGCAACAGGACGGTATGCACTCACCAAACAACTCAACTTGGATGCAGCTGGAGTCTCAGTAAGTACATTTTATTTTCTGATTGAAAACATTCTCTTCTGTATGTAACAAAGTTGCAGGGGCAATATGATATGATGCAATTTTTTAACATGTCTGCTGTCTAGATAGGGAACCGCTTGATCCACTTAATTTAGCTTCATAGGTTCTAATACAATTCTAATCTATTGTTAAATTTACTTTTATTATTTAACTATTAATTTTTTTTTTTTATTTATTTACTTTTTATTAATTAATAAATGTATTTCTTTTAATAAATTTACTTTTTCTTAATAATAATTTACCTACTATGTTTGTACAATGTTTTAATTCTTATTTTCTATTAAATTTTTTCTTTCAGTATAAATTCAATATTTATTAATAAAATATTATAAAAACTTCCAGACTTTATCAACAAACGGAAAAATCGTAGCTGACACGGAACAAACAAACATACCACACGTATATGCAGTCGGTGACGTGTTGGAAGGTAGACCCGAGCTGACTCCGGTGGCCATTCATGCTGGAAAGCTGTTGGCGAAGAGAATGTTCGCAGGGGGAAACCAGCAGATGGATTATGAGAATGTGGCCACCACTATCTTCACTCCGCTCGAGTATGGATGTGTGGGACTTAGTGAGGAAACCGCTGTGCAAAGGTATATTATCCTTATATTTAAAACTAGCTGACCCGGCTAACTTTGTTCCGCCTAACAGTTCAATAATATGGTGTTAACTTTAGTTATACTTAATTAAGTATTTCATTGAGGATTACTTGTTACTAAACAATAATACAATTGTAAATACAGAAATATTTTATTGCTTGCCATTGCAAATGAAAAATGGCAGTTTTACACATTGGGCCTCTTCTCTCTAGCGCCAATATTGCGATACTACATGTTAAAGGACTTTCTGTTATACATTTTTTGATGAGGTAACACATGTCTTTGATCAAGATCAAAGCCCGGTTATGCATCTCCTCATTCACCTCAAGATCGGAATTTCTTGAGCTGACACGAATTCAATGTAAAATGATGCGTAGTTTTGTTAACAGATGGCATCACATGCTGTTTGCATTTTCAAAATTAATTAATTAATTTATTGTTATTATACTTATCCAATATTTTATTACTTATTCTGCTATTAGGAGCGGGGAAGAATCCACCAAAAAAGAGATATCTAACATCAGTCCAGCCAATCTTGAGTTATAAGTGGTGTAACTAACACAACTTTGTTTTATATATTTATAGATGAAGTCTGTATCAACGCGATGACCTCAAATACTCTGAACATATTTTTTAATAATAAATATTATGAGGAAAGGTTTATGTATAAAGTTTTATAAATTTACTAATATGTATATAATTATTGAAGAAATCTCAAAACTTTTTGAATTTCACGATATCGACTCCGTTATCTAATCTTTCTTCGGTCAAAGTCTTTCAAGGCTTGAATCTTGAATTAGTAATTTTATAGCTAAGCTGCATGTTTTCATCTACTTTTATGGTGGGATTCCGAAATGATACTTCAGAAACAGTGCAATTAAGCTAACTTTTATGAATAATTAGGTTAGATTTATATGAGAAACGAATACTAATATGTTTAGGCATATATAAAGCGGATTTTTTAAACAAATTGAGTTCATATATATATATAAAGATATTATTAAGAAAATAAACTGTTTTACAGATTCGGAGCTGACAATTTGGAGATATACCACGCGTATTACAAGCCCACCGAGTTCTTCATTCCCCAACGGAACATTCGCAATTGCTATTTAAAGGCCGTGGCCTTAAGGGAGGCTCCGCAGCGCATTCTAGGGCTCCACTTCGTGGGCCCCGTGGCTGGAGAGGTCATCCAGGGCTTCGCCGCAGCTGTCAAGTGAGTGTTTTGAAACTTGAATAGAGAATATCTCTGCACTGTAATAAGAGAGGCGCTGCATAGAAACCGAACGCTCAGACATGAGCTGCTGACTCAATATAGAGAGATGTTAAAAAATAAACAAAGTTTCTATATCTACATAGCCTTTAAATTAATGTACTATTCGTAAAGCAAGTACTATATATAAACAAAAGATAATATTTAAATACTAAAATGTCTATCTACTATATTTAATCTATATATTTATTTAAATCAAATGTTATGTATCTATTTGGTTGTACTTTACATAAGAAATTAAATATAATGTATATTTCAGGTGTGGTATAACAATGGAGCAATTAATGAACACAGTGGGAATCCACCCAACTGTAGCCGAAGAGTTTACTCGGCTTAACATCACCAAGAGGTCTGGCAAGGACCCCAACCCCGCTTCTTGTTGCAGTTAAATCAGATAGTAATCTAGATGAACATAATTGTGGACGGACATAATTGGGGATAGACATAATTGTGGTCGGACATAATTGTAGACGGACATAATTGTGGACGGACATAATTGTGGTCGGACATAATCGTGGACGGACATAATTGTGGACGGACACAATTGTGGTCGGACATAATGGTGGACATCTCCGCTATGCACATATGCTTTGTGGACATTGCTTTAATACCTCACTCAAAAAATCCGTCTTCGTAGTTAAAAAATAATTTCTCGAGTGTAATATCAGGGTTTTTATTGGTTAAAGAACAAGCTTAATTCAAACAAATTATTTACTATTTATTACTAAGTACATACACAAAGCGGGCATTTATAATTTATTGAACTTTTGGGTGCTCACCTCTCTTGCCTAATTAATGTACAAAAAAAGACAGTTCAAATTGCAATTAAATGTCATTTTCAATGAATTAGTGACGTTTGTAAGTTTTCACATTCACCCAGTATTATTGTTTTCATTGTTAGTACATTCCGGCGCACGCGCCGAATAACCGAACGTAATTATTTGTTATATTATTGTAATAATTCTTAATAAAGTGATATATTTGTATGTTTTGTTATTTGATTTCTTTGGGAGCTGGAGTATAACGTATAAATCAATGCTTGTTTACGAAGATGGTGGTGTCGATTCCCAGAGAATTAACTGTTTGAATTAATGGTCAGCATAGAAGACTCTTATTGTCTTAGGAGATTTGATATCGTCACTGTAGTATGATAAGCTCGTATGTCAAAAAACATTTATTTTTTATTACTCTTATGTATATTAACTGGTATAATCATGAATTAAGGACTTTTTATGATTAATAAATAAGTCCTTTTTACCATCCAAAACACATAACAATATTTTAACGAACATTGACGAAATCAAAAAAAAAATTTTGTTTCCTGTAATGTTTGTTTCTCTGGACATACGAGGTTATCATTCTACACCGACGATATGTCTCTGTATAATACACGTTTCGTGATGATTTATTTTTCCTAAGTAGTAGTAAGGCATGCCAGCTTCCTCACGATGTTTTACTTTACGATACGAGTATTAATAGTACACAGGCAGAAAAGTATAAAGATGCCCAAGCGTGATCGAACGCACGACCTCACGGTTGATAGGCGCATGTTTAACTTAAAATACATATATATATCATTATATATGCGCTTTAGTTTAGTTCCAAATGCGTCCAGCGAGCGTTGCTAAAGATTTTCATTTGAAATTTATACAAACAGATTTATCCTAATTAAAAACACATTCCAACGATTAATATTAATCCGGGTTCTTGTAGCCCCCAAATTAGCCCATACAAACTCCTCTTATCAGTAAATATCACATACATTTGTAAAAGCTGTCACTTAGATATGTATCTCTTGAAGTATAACGCCTGATTTTATGGTTCATCATTAGTTAGGTATCTTCCCATTTCCGGCGTCGCTTCGCAAGGGAACCATATTTGCGCTGTCGGTAAGGGATAGTATTCGTGTGCTTGAATTAATGTGTTATCAAATCGCCAGAAACGTGGTCCTTGGAAGAAAAACGTATCTGAAACCATGGTGATGAGAATACATAACGATTATTATTTTAACACGGGAAGATTATATATAGATATCAGAATAAATAGAATTTTATAACGAACTGTTAACTATCCCTTTTGTGACATAGTAATAAGGCATACGTGAATAATGAATGCAGGGTTGTGGGTTCGATTTGGCGAAAAATTAATTATTTGAAGTTGGAAAGGAGAAGGTTGATTTTAAATGATCAATTTCATTTTAAATATCAATGAAACGGACTGTTTGAATGCATATAAAAAGCGTAATTAGAAAATACAGAGACGGTGATAAAATACATGATCTACACGTTTCAATTGAATTATATCTATGTAAAGTTATAAATTAAGAAGAAATTACCTCCTTTCCATATAATAGCTGCATTAACAGGCGCAGGGACTTTTCTCCACGCAGACATCATCTTTGGGTATCCTCTATCCATCTTTTTTGTATCCTCATTGTATCGCCAGAATCTCTCTTCTTCAAACAGGTAGGTCCTATTATTATAGTTAGATATGAAGACTGTCGTCAGCTCGGATACTTGTGGTGGGACGGAGTATTCTGTGATCCTCCCGCGTTTTATTAAACGAAATCGAGAGCTGAACTCCCAGTAATGTCGGCCTAGAATGATATAGATACAATAAGAACATTGTTGGCCTAGCGGCTTAAGTGAAGTCATAGTGAGTTCGGAGTGTGTTGTCATAGACTTCTGTTAATTTTGCACTTTTTTTAAAATACGAAACAAATGGTAAACAATATAGCTGTCTAGCGACTGCTTCTTTTAAGAGACTGCGATTTACTGAGACGGGAGACCGTAAGACTGCGATGTGTGTTTTATACAGAGATTCATTTAGTACAACGCCATCTATAGTTATTAAAGGGTAAGTTTATTACAAAAGGTGCTACTTTGAGATTTAAAATTATTAAATGCTTTTAAATACTGGTATTTAGTAAGATTTGGCTCTCTTTTACCATCATATTAGCTATCAAACATTTTTAATACACAAAGGAATTAACTAAGTAACAACGTTTCAGAATAGAGAAAAGCATTTAACAGCAGTTTTGGCTGCGCACCACCACTATGTGGATCCCGATGCCCACTGAAGAATTTCCGAACCAATTCGACTTAGGCTCCGTCAAGAATTTTGTGAACCTTCTGGCAATGTGGCACTTAACATCAGAGGAGCCTCCTGCCCTTTTGTCCCCGTTTGGTATACAAAAAGCATGCAGGAATATCACAAAGACTAGGGATGGACTGCAGCTCTCGCTCAGCTTGAAGTGGAAATGTCATGTAGCGCATCTCAAGAACCAATGGTGGGTGATTCGAACAACAAAGGGAAAAGGTCCTTTGCCTAAATGGAGGCTGTAAGATGGGAATGGATGGGATGAAATCAAAATGAAAACAATCACATCTTAACGGGGATGTCCCCTAATAGACACAGACGAGAAAAAATACACCAGGCGAAAAGAAGCGACGGGGAATTCCCCATTCGCTTCGATTGGTTGATCTAGTTGATTGATCTCAGGGATTCCAATCTTGATTACATTTTTTTAAAATTTCAGATATTTTAAAATTTAAAATATCGCCTATTGTTTTCAGTGGGGAATGGGGGCCCTTTGTATCCTCGGGGTCCTGAACTGCAGCCCAAAAAAGACCTTAATTAGATCCGCCCCTGCTTAGACCCATAAAAAAATCGTCGAATTTATCTGATCTAAGTATATTCTTCTAACAAGTGCCTATGATAGTGATGAGAAATACTTACTCCAAAATATAACTATATGTCCATTTCGTTTCTCGTAAATCGTTTTAATAACATTAATATATTTTGGCAGTCCAATAAACACGTCGTGGAACTTTTTCGGGTATCCTTCTTCTATCTGTTTTCTTTCTGTCAACACCCACACCCACTGAAACATATTCCATGTAAATGTTAACCTAGTGTCTGAACAACGTGGCTTCTGAACACACCTTACGCAGAAGGAGAAGTTAATGAGACCTAATAAAAGTTACACATTACACTCACTCATTCTCTCACACACTCAATCATGCGTGTTACGTATTGCGTATGCTGTTAAAAATTAGCAGAAGAATTTGTTGTAAACGGTTTAAAACAAAATGTAATAATAAAAAAAAAGGGTGGGTGTACTTATGTACGCGCGTAAGAAGTTATACTTCTTTGGCATTATTAAAAATAGTTTGGCTTTGTTCCACCTCCAGTTTTTTATGTTTCACAGCGATAAGATGACAACTCTTTTTTTGTATTCAATTTAGTGCACTTACACTGATTCATCAATTGTTTTTTGTCTCTTGTCTTTATATTTGCTAGAGAAAAATTACATGTTTTGATTAAACAATGTGGTAATTTTTTTAATCAAAACATTACTCGATAATAATAATACAAACTGATAGTTAACCTCAATTGTAATGAAGCACTTAGGAAGGTTGATGAGCACAGTTTTTTCACAAATATTAATTAGTATTGGTTTAAATATTCAATTTAAATCACTTCTGATTATATATAATTCAAAAAGCATTGCTAAATTTCTTTGAAAAAATAATTAAAACTCCTTTATTTGTTTAAAAGGTAAATGACAAATGTCATTATGGTCATTCAAAATTCTTGGCATACGAACTTCACGCATATTCTGTTTCTTTTTACTTGTAGATTGTCTTATTCCTATCTCGCTCGCGCACGCTATAATCACACTCCTAATTTTGTGTCACGGTGCGCGCGCATCGTAAAATTTCACTCTCATAAATTTTTCATAACGCGCCTAAAGAAGTATAACTTCAAAAAAATTAGCTTTGTTATGAGATCTGGGAACCCTGATAGGTATTTTTTATTTAAACGGTTTTTCTAATCTTACACATTGTAATGCATACTGATAATAATGAATGAACTCATTTTTATTTTATTTTTTAGTGTGCAAGTATGCGATTCCGTCATGAACATTAACAGCCTTGCGATTCTGTAACTCACTCACTAACAATAAACTACAAGCTCCCTCCTTATCAGAATGCCAAATAATAAATTATAAAATGACTGCTTCACGACTGATTTGAGCGCGACCGCCGCTGCGAAAACCGCTGTGTGAGTTCGAAAAGTGAGTTACAGAATCGCAAGGCTGTACACTAATGATTTTCTCAAGCAGAACTTAGTACGGTAAACATACGAATAATGTGTGAATTTGTATAGTTATTTAAATCCATGTATTTAAAATAACTATACAAAGCATGTTCAAGAGAGAAATGATATCTAATAAGGAAATGTTATTTTAATAACCTATTATCATTCAAGACAACCAGCTTGTAAGTCATATGTACCAACCTCTTCTTCGAACACAAAAATCTTTCCCTGTATGACCTGTATCGTGTCATAATATGTGAAGCAGAGATCAGGAATGTCATCTTCATCTATATCTGCTTTCGTGAAGCGAGGCACAAGAGACGAGCGGGAGACCATTGCTTCTGTTGTCTCCTCCGAATCCTCTTTGGAGTTATCATTTGTTACGGAAGCTATAATTGTGGAGAGCTTCAATTAGTTTAATTCAAATTGATTCAACCAACGAAATGCAATTCAAGAAAACACCACATCGCAATTAAGTAGGCAGTGGAAACAGTTTAAAAAACTATTTAAATAACACTTCAATATTTAAAAGCTTAAAAAAGGTAAAAAAACTAAAATAATATACAACCTTTACCTTTGAATACACATTTTAAATAATATTTCTTTAACGACATCTAATATATAAAATTCTCGTGTCGCGGTGTTTGTGGTTAAACTCCTCCGAAACGGCTTGACCGATTCTCATGAAATTTTGTGTGCATATTGGGTATGTCTGAGAATCGGACAACATCTATTTTTCATCCCTCTAAATGTTAAGGGTGTTTAACCCCTAAATATTTTTTATTTTATTTTTAGATTTTGATTTTATGATACAGCATTAAAAAATACATACAAACCCTTATTTTTAACCCATCTACGATCAACCCCTATTTTTTATTATAGATTATAAACATGGCAAAACTACGTTTACCGGATCAGCTAGTACTTTTATAAAATCCTCATTTTACACATACAAAGTCGTAGGTACATAGTGTAAATATGTAAGCTTGATAACTATATCCTTTATATTTAGGTAGTATACCATTACAGAGTTGCTCAAACTCAAAATAACTTAATTCATATAGGTAACCAAGTACACATGAACGTCAACAGAAAATATGTTAAACTGATTATAAATTTAAATTTACTACCAGTTTGCAAGTCAAGGGCGTAGGGGGCCAAGAAGAACTGGCAAGAAACTCTCCGCCACTCTTTTTAATCGCCAAGTTTTGAGTCATACAAATTGTTTGAACTAAAGTAAAGCAATCCCAAAGATTAGGATCATTTAAATAATCGTCGTTCAATGTTTAACACCTTAAATCTAATTAAAAGTCTTATAGGATACAAGATACATCTTATACCACGTTAGACTCTGAAATCGGTACTGCTGCTGCCGATGGCGATTGCCTTAATACCTGCAATAACGTCACCTGTGAGTGTTCACAATCAAGGCGCTAACCTTGTAACTTTCAATAGATCCCAATCTCAATAATGAGTGCTGGTACCGCGAAAAACCAAAGTTGCGACATTAGTGCTACGGTTATTGACAGAATTACATCGAACTTCGGACATACAAACATGGGATCTGTATCACTATTGCTATTACACAGTAAGGGTGCAGTTCTTTACTCTTATACTGAACCACTCGAAACAATGGCAATAGCATCGGCAGGAGCAGTGACGGGCTTAGTGTATAATAATCAATACTCACAATACAACTCTCGCATGCCCGATATATCATCCTCGTGCAACTTCTCCACTGGCACTTGGTAATACGGGTACATAACTGATGCCTTTACATTCGAGTGTGATAGGCCTAACGCATGGCCTATTTCGTGCACTGCGACCGCGAAGAAGTCAGTCACATCTTCGTCTTCGTCAACAGGATTGTCAGCCCACAGCTCGTCATCATCAAAATGCATCGCGCCGTGAGGGGGCGGAAATGCGTGGGCCACTACACGGCCTGGACCATCAAATGGAAACCTGTAAAATTTCAATATACAAAAATGAAACTCTAATTAAGCTATTTTTAATAAATAAAATTAATATTTTATTAAATTTAATTCAAGAGAATTTTACATATAATGTAGGTACGTCACGCTTGACTACAATTTTATTTTTAAAGAAATTGAAAATCATCAGTATTAGTTTTTCAATACAATTCTTCTACGAATAATTCAATATCATTACATTTCGCTATTTTACGCTTCTTATTGAATGACCTACAAAAGACAAAACAAATATTGTTTACAGAACAAACAGTTGGTTAGTGTTTGTATATGTTGTACAATTTCTAGACTTACCCATCACCGTGGTCTTTGTTGACGAATGAAACTAATATATCTGGTTTGGTATCACGTTTAAGGAAAGTCAGCCCTCCATGGGGGGCCCACACTGCAAGACCGGCATCCATCAATGCCTCCACCCGAGATTTTTCGAGGGTGCTTGTTCCATTTAAAACACTAAAAACATCGCAATGGAAACTTATTAAGATTACTGTACGACTGGTCGTGTATGCGGTGATGTTTGTTATTATGTATTTGCTGTTGTCCCCACGAGAACTTGAATGTGCGTGCTATGCCATGCCTACTGCTGTAGACATAAAAAATTTTTAATTTGCGTTTTGTCCCCATTACTTAAGATGATGTGGAATGGTTGCGTGCTTTTTCACCAATTGCGTACAACAGAAAGAGGACTAAATCGTTAGTTTATCGTTATTTTTGACCGTTCTACGCTTGTTACTTGAGAATGGTTAAGGTTAACTGAAGCATATATATATTTTGTTCAAATTGAAATGAATAAATTATTTAATAAAATAATAAATATATAATAAATAATTATTAATTAAGATATTTGAATGGTTCACTAAATATCTATAAAATTCTGGCATTATGTTTCTCGCACTGTTAAAATTTCTTATTAGATTATTTAGATTTTTAACGACTGAAACCGGTACAGAAAGCACACGACACGAGTAGTAGTTTTTAAATCTATAATTAGCGCCTGTACATAAGTACCCCACGGGCCCAAGAGCTCTACTCTCCAAGGGAACAAAATCTAAATTGGGGAATTTATGTTTAGGTAATTATTATTTTTAGGAATTAAATTAAGTTGACCTGTAAGTGATTGTCTTCTTATCCCAGCCCTGTTGCACGATATATCTCTTGTGTCGATTGGAGGAAGTAGTCACGATGTCTTTTACGCCACATCGTTTCGTTTTGAACAGCTGTAAGAGAGTTCTACTTGAAAATTGTCATATTTAGAGATGTATGTACGTTTAAACTGACCTTAACAGCCTGAACTTCTTCGTCGGTAAATTGCGACGCAATTGAAATTACTTTGGAAACGAGCAAAGTTAGTTAATCGCGCGAATGTTGAGTCCTGAATGAATTCCAACATTACTCTCTGTGTACCAATATATTTTTCTTGCTTACACGCAATACTTTAACGGTGAAATTAAAGTTATCCTTAGGAAACCGGAATGTCTCAGGTATTTCGTCGAGACTCAGCGTTTAAGTATGACTCCGATATGTCAAATCCAATACGTTTTAACATAGGAGTACGGAAATAAATAAATTATCGTTTAACACACTACAAGATAGTAGTTAACGTTAAGGTAAACTGAAGTATTTCCGAACCAATTCGACTTCGGGTCCTTCAAGAAAAGAGCGTACGAATTTTTTAAAAGGTCGGCAACGCACTCGTGAGCCCTCTGGCGTTGAGAGTGTCCATGCGGCGGTATCACTTAACATCAGGTGAGCGTCCTGCCCGTTTGCCTCCTGTTTTATAAAAAAAAACCTTAATAATAATTAACTAGCCTTTTCAGTTTCTTCATCAATTTCTCCCGTTTGCGGCAGTCCGGCGAATGCCTGCATCCTTCTAACGCCATCTGCTATCGCCTTTTTTGTGTAGGTATAGTCGACGCCTTTAATTCTCTCTGGGAGGTAGCCATATTTTGTCAAGAACTCTTTCTGAAACAGTGTAAATTGTAAAACCTTGTTTTAATCTATACTAATATTATAAGGATGTTTGTAACGAATTGGCTCAACAAATTCTGGACCGATTTTGAACATTCTTTCACCATTTGCATGCTACATTGTCACTGCTTAATTTAATTGCAAGAAAAAATAAGGATCCCTACTAAAACTACAATAATGGTAGCCAAGGTGTTAAAAAAATGCCAATAAAATATCTTTCATCGCATGCGCTGAGAAAACTATTGATGATAGAACAAAAAAAAATTGCACAATATAAAAGAACATATTAACATCTAGAAAAAATTAAATGTCCGCAAGTAGTTTATAAAAGCATCCATCACCAATCCATGGGTACTTAAAAGAACATTATATGAATGAACAAAAACCTATTAAACGTTTGAGTCGGATTTAAAATTAATTCCCAAACATGTGTACGCCTAATCCACTATCAAGGATCAAACATATCATTATTATGTTGGGAGAAACGTCAAGTATTAAGTGAAATAGACATATCACATACAATTAATTACGTAATGATAAAACTAATAAAAATAACGTGTACCAACGAAAATTTACTTATGAAATAAATAGGTCACTAAAAATGAAATTGTTACCACGGACAGAACAGTGAGTTCCTCTTGCGGAGCGCTTCGACATTTCACCGAATTAAGAAAAAATAGCACTAAACAACATTTCACGTATATATTCATCGTGATGAAGAATCTAAATGACGACAGACTAACAAAACTTGAACTTTGACATGAGATAATGTTATTATAATTATAGATGTAAACGCCCTGCCGGACATGAGTAATGTATTGAAATGATCGGAAATGCACATAAATAATTACTTTGTATGGTTCATCGGAAGCTGGGTATGACATAGGAATTCAAATTCATTGATTTATTCAATTAGGTAACACAATGTACATATTAAATGCTTCTAATTTCACATTTACTACCAGTTCTCAAAGCAAGGGCGTAGAACGGATGAGAATAACTTTCAATAAACTCTCCGCCACTCTTTTTAATCGCCAAGGAGCTGCAACCATTACACCATATTCCACATGACATTTTTAAGTAATTAATAGTTATTAAATAATATTATAATACAAAATAAAAAACAAAGATTTGTTCTCTATCAGCAGTAGGCATGAAATAGGGGCACACACTTACATTCTCGTGGGAACAACACGCAAATACAAAGTCGAAATAACTAACAATACCGCATACACGAATTCAAGTTCGACCATTCAAGACAAGAGAGAGAGGAGTTCTGAACATCAAAGAGCTGAACTATATGATTACAATTATTATTATTACAGGGATTAAACTACTTAAATTTGTTTTAATTTTCTATTTATTCGTTTTTAATTATATATGTTGATTATTATTGTACTATGTGAATTAAGAATATTGTAAATACTTAGTTATACATATTAAGCTTTCATTATGATTATATTCCTCTTTTCATTTTTGAAGAAAGCAGCGCAGAAGATGGGCAGACGTTATAAAGAGAATACGAGGCACAACTTGGACAAGAAGAACTAATATTAGAAAATAATGGAAGCAGCTGGAAGAGGCCTATGTGACACGCTGATCACCAAAACCGGCACATCTGATGTATTAGATTAAGTTAGGTTGTGTAACTAAAACAAATGTTTATTAATATTACTGGGTGTCAGCAATAAAGGCTTAGTAATATAATAATGATAACATTAAATTAAATTACGATTCATCATAAATTTATATTCTAACATCACATGTTCACACACATCATATATTAATTCCTAAGAAATAAATAAATAAGAAGTCATCGTTTTTAATAATTGTTTTTCTTGCATTAAATTTTAATTACGTTCTATAATTAAATAAATTACCGAAATTATTTAATTTAAATAGTAAAATGTAGGTAACATTAGGGTCGCTGCTAATAAAAACGAGCAGACACTTAACAAGGTCAAAATCTTGACTGTCGAGTCGGTTGATTTTTTATTTTTGAAATTATATGCTATATTAAAAAAAAACACTAATATATACGATATACAAAAGATGTATACTGTGTTGGATATAAATCATACTTTTAATAGTTCTCATGTGCGCAATAATTAAGTATGTTATAAATAGGTCCAAGGCCAATATGTAAATATGGAGAATTATATTTTCGTCTCAGTAACAACAGAGCAAATTAATATACGTTCATTTAAAACCTAACGGTTTCATATAAAACAGTTGAATGAAACCTTCACGCACTAATTAAAGAAAAAGCGTACCATTTCTTAAAAGGCAACGCACTTGCGAGCCTTCTAGCAATGTGAGTACCCATGGGCGGCGGTATCACTTAACATCAGATGAGCATCCTGCCCGCTTGCCTCCTATTACATAAAAAAAATCTTCCTAAATCGTGTTTATATTTTAAATAGATTTTTGAAGTTATACTTCTTTAGGCGCGTTATGAAAAATTTATGACAGTGAAATTTTACGATGCGCGCGCACCGTGACACAAAATTATCAGTATGGGCGCCGAGCGTGCGCGAGCGAGATGGGAATAAGACAATCTACAAGTAAAAAGAAATAGAATATGCGTGACGTTAGCAGCTATGCCAAGAATTTTGAATGACCATAATGACATTTGTAGTACCTTTTAAACAAATAAAGGAGTTTTAATTATTTTTTCAAAGAAATTTAGCAATGCTTTTTCACAAAGACCTATTGTTACTTAGTTAAAAGGTTATGAAACATACCTAGTTATTAAATTGAATTAATAATATAATAAAATAATAATTAATATTCATTAATAATTGAATAATTTACTAAATATTGTTAAATTAATAACGCTAAATATTTATTATTAATTATTTAAAAAAAAATAAAGAAAGCCAAAGAAGTATAACTTCTTACGCGCGTACATAAGTACACGCACCATTTTTTTTAGTTTTATTAAGAACTTTTACGGAACTTTTGTCATTTGACATTGATATATAGATTCATGTTGACAGAAAACGTCTTTAATATTGTTAGTATCTTTGATAATATACAATAATATAACCAAAGGGTGATAAAGCGGTTAAATTTAACATGCAATCAAAATCATTAGAAAAGTTCCACTCTCTTCCAAACATAAGAGCTGGATTAAGCGAAGGGGATTTGCGAAAATTGTACAGTCTCTCTCTATCACAGATACGGAAGCATGCCGAATTTGCGGAATACAATTATAAGCCGGCATCATTCGTTAGTATTTACTATGTTAGAATATATCCATAAATTCATTCTCTAGTATATTAAACGTACCTACTTATTGATAGAGATTTAGTTTCATTACGGAAGTGCTTATTCGTCACTTTCATTTAAGATGTTAAATCATAATATAAAGAGACAGTCCCGGTACTCTGTAATTTCCAAAAGCAACTCCAATGTTAAGTTATTGTACCGCGCTATTCCAAAGTTGAAACAATTACATACAAAAGCATTTAAGTTACTGAGTACCAACGCAGTTAGTCAAAACAATGTTTGACTAATTTAGTTTCAAGGGTGATGTGTTAACACGCGTTGACAAACATATCGTGGTTGGTAACACAGAAGGCAAAAGATCACGTGGCGTTCACCAACCAGATGGACCGATCAAGTGAAAGACTCATCGTCCTCTAAACTGTATACTGTAATAAGAGAGGCGCTGGATGGAAACAGATTGTCCGCTCCAGATGTTTCCTTGATGACCACGACGCTCCGACATGAGCTACCGACTGAAGTGTAGCTGGTATATTTAACATTGATTACGAATTGTATATTTAATACAGAACATACGTTGGATTTACGGTTACAACCCTAGAGCGGGTGTGATTAATCTAAAGGACCGCGACAAGTCCGAAATCTTCTATGCAGCTGGTAACTGCGGTGTGCTGTATGACTGGGAGAGTGATCAAATGCGAATATTGCAAGGACATGTAAGTCGAGTAATTGGTTACTAGTTTCTATAAGAGAAACAATCACTTCATATTCGGATCAATAACTCTTTCTGATAAATGATCCAACATGGCGGTGCGAAACCGGCGTTCTATATAAAATACATTTTATATTTCTGCAGTTTTATAAGTGAAAGAATCCACTTTTTATTTATAAGATTTAAATATATAATCATTGATAAGTGAGGTCTTAATGTTGGTTGGGATCCTATTCGCATATTGTCACTTATTTACAACCATTTTCTTTATTATTCATACTTAATCTTGATAAATCTGGCATTCTTCTGGCAATTTCTTCCAGAGACACGTAGTCCTGTTCTTAGCAACCGATGCTCAGGGTAAATGGTTAGTGACTGGTGACTCAGGACCTGAAAATATTATCATAATTTGGGACACAACTGACTTATTTCCACAAAAGACGTTGTTTTCCCCACACGGCAGCAGCAAGTTGGCTAAGATCTCTCTCAGTGCTGATGCTAAATATCTTATGACCTTGGCGTATGCAGACATAGCTGTTCTACACTGGTGGATATGGTCCTTTGGATACGACATTCCTCATGGTAAAAATTTACTTTGGATACTGTATGGAATAAAAGTGTAGATAAACCTAATAACAGAGTCTGTATAATTGGTTCCCTTTTACCTATAGCTTACAAAACAGTGAATTTACGAAAAAAGACAATGAGTTCCCTATATGATCGATATGCCTAATTATGAAAGTTACACCAAATCCGATGTATATATCTTCGTACAATTTCTAACTTCATCGTTTAACTAGCTCGGTGGGCAAAAAGAGCTTTAAATTCTTATATCTTTGACTCTTTCATCAAATTCATTGGCTTTTTAGTTTATTTTATTATTACTTTAGATTAAGGTTGGTGATTCTATATTTTGATTATGCACTTCTTGCACTTTACCTATCAATTCTTTTTTTTTGGTTTTTTCCTTACTAGGGTTGCCTGAAAGAAATCGCCTGTTAGCGATAAGGCCACCCGTTGCAGTCCTTGTAATTTTTATGAGTAAACTTACCTCGTGTTGTCATTCATTTTGGATTAATAAGAGAGACATTGATTCCACCACAATTCTTTCAGCGACACTGGAAGTGGATATACCTCGTGATGGTGTTCTTGACATGAGTTTTAATCCAAATGATAGTTTGCAGTTTCTTCTTCTAACTAAACAGGATATTTGGATTGGGACAGCTAAGGTTCGCTTTTCAATTAATTTTTTAATTTAGCTCTGTACGTTACACCTTCCTCAATCTAAAAAGATAAAATATTTTAGTAATAAATTCGTTGTATTAAAAAATGATGCTTGAATGCGAAACATCGGGATAATATTAATTAGTAATTAAGCCTCATTTATTCCTTGAAACATTCATCCATTTACCAGTGTGTGTAAATTTTGTATATAATATATTTTTATTGGAAAACATAGAGTTGTACAAATATGCGTTTATTATTGGTATATGTTTTGATAGTTTAATTTAAAACCTAAATATAACTGTACGGTTCCTGGGTCATCGGGGTGCTTTAAATAATAGAGGATTTAAGTTTTACTCTATAATAACCACTCGCGTATAACAAAAGAATATGAGCGAAATAATGAAATGTTAATTGCTATGTAACGAATGAATGCAATGTAACAGTCGAAGAGAGTGCTTACGTGTATACTCTCGGAGCGTAACTCCGATGATTTAGATAATCGCAACGCTTATAAAACTAAAAAATCCTGAGTAAGCAAAATGAATAGCTGTGCGATTCTGTTAATTCGTGAGTTCACCTCGCACTAACAACGCTCCCTTCCATTTTTGGAATCTCATGGAATTCTGTTAAGCAATTTCACATTACTTCTTGACAAGCGGGGGGGAGCTTGTAGTTTTTTTTGTAGCTTTTATTGTTTATCAGAATGCCAAATCGTAAAATTACTGCTTCACGACTGATTTGAGCGCGACCGCCGCGCCGCTGCGAAAACGCTTTGAGTTCGAAAAGTGTGTTACAGAATCGCAAGGCAGCTTTGGCTCGTACAATAACTATTCTTCTATCCCTACATAATTATGTTTTTCTGATCTAATAAATTAATTTTCTCAAATATATATTCCATAATACATTTTAGAAAATATTTATAATGGAAAGAGGAATTGTGAAAGAGACTGACGATTACGAGTTGATGATTCGTATGCCGACCAGAAAAGCAGCCCCAGAAGTTGGAAGGCTCACTTGCTTCACGTTTGCAAAAGCCCAGATTGTGGTAGGAACGAGTCGGGGAGCTGTATTGTTATATAGTGCGACTGTTGGGAACCAGGACAATGTTAATCTGAATTACGAAGAACTAAGATTCATAAAGATTTTGAAAATTGAACAAATAAAGATCAATGTTATTCAGAGCGTGGATGGGTATGAATTTCAATTTAACGTTTCAGTTTGCGTACTATTGAGGTTAGGTAACAGTTAAATATCTGTAGGGGCCTGGGTTTAGGAAATATGATGGTTTGATTCCGCTAACAGTATGAGAGCAAAAAGGAATGCCAATGTAAATTCGATTGAGACTAGCTCTAACCTTTGGTGGTGATGATGGGTTTTTCGAGAGCAATCAATCTTTCTCTCCAATCAGCAGATAATAAAATATAGCTTTAAGATTTTTAGTTGTTAAAATAGAGTGCCACATTAAGTTGACAGTTTTGCTGCGGTTTAACATTTTATTGTTTTTTTTCAGGGTCATAGTAACGGGCAATGATATAGGCGAGTTGCACTTCTATGATGAGCAGTTAAAGTTGCTGTACTGGATCCACGGCTTTCAAGTGGACTCAGTAAGAGGCATCAGTTTTGATATGATTCGGCGAAGTTTTAAAATATTAGACCCTAAATGTATGTCTATTTTGCAATTAATGTATGTTTTACTTGTGGTAGCTATTCTAGCTATATATAAGAATTATATTATATAGCTATATATAGATAGATATATAGAGATAGACCGCGAAGGCCAGGTTTGCGATACCAACAGCCAGAACCAGTCTGTTACACAGATCCCTGTTAACAAAGAGGTTGCCTACTGAATGCTGTCTCCGACACTATCGACGTATTTATATGTTCGCAGAGTTAATTCACAGTATTGTGTATCTTACATATATATATTTTTTGTTTGCCACATTACCGTACTTGTATTTTCGACAAATCCTAAGTCTTGATAGACACGGTTGCAAGAGAGGAGCAGTCTCGATGGAGATTTTGCTCTGAACGCCTAACAGCTCTCAACACATCTGCTCATAGTCTAACTGACTGATTGCAAGATAAAGACTTAAAAAAAAAAAAACATTACCGTACTGGTTTAGTACTGTAAGAAAAGTGTATATATTTTTTTGTGTATAAGTAAATAAATTTATACTAGAAACCACGTGGTATTAAAATTTATTTTTATGCACACTTTACGCTGTAGACTGCGCGATTTAAATGAAACAAATTGTAAACATTTAGTTTTATCGCAATCAATAGGTGTATCCAAAACATATGTGTAATTTCTTATAGTGAAGCAGGAAAAAATAAAACTGTTACAATTTTAAATCGATGAAATATAGCTATAGTTTACTTCTGGATTAGGTAACAAGGAGTGCCCTTGCTATGACGAGGTGAACACGGGTGTGGATCCAGAAACTAAGATGCGCCGCCAGAAGCTAATGAAAAAAGCAATACCTTCTGACGCAACAACTGCCAATAAGCCTTTTTTGGTTCGAGATTTCATTCTATGTCAGTTAAGATTTCTTCTTGCATTTAAAAAAAAATATCCAATTTCTGGACGAATTCGACTTAAGTTCCTTGAAGAAAAGAGCGCACCGATTCATAAAAGGCGCTTGCGAGCTTGCTGACAGTGTGAGTAATCATTAGGGGTAACATCAGGTGAGCTCGGTTGCCCCCTGTCCTATAAAGAAAGAAGTAACAACACCACTGTGCTTTAAATACAGAAATGTGAGCCAAATACGAAAAAATTATTAATAGTTTTAAACAAGATATAAATTTATTTTATTCAGGTACCTATAATGAGGGCGTTTCGTTCGTTAATTTCACAACGGAGACTCTGCAAACAGTTCTTGATAACAGGATTATGCACGCTATGACCTTGACAGTGCATCCTGAAAAGTAAGTCATATTTCGTCGAATTTATTATTAGTTACACTGGTTACTGAAAAGTAAAAAAAAAGTGCGTGCGTACTTTACACATGTCAGAAGTGAAACTTCTTTGGCAAACTAATTTTTAAGTCTTGTTCAAATTTATAAAAATCTAAAAATTTCCGAGACCGAGAGGGAGGGAAAAAGGAAGATAATATGTTAGAAATTTAATTAATTTAATTGTCATTATAATATTAAAAGTGTCGACAATTAATACAAATTATATTTTTTTTATTAAATTTATTTCTTCGATAATAAAAATATGTGGAATTTTAATTTACAATTTGTCATTTGAGATTTCAATAAATTATTTCGCATAAAATATAAAATACTAATATTTCATAAATTCTTTACGAAATTTTAAATTTAAAAATAGAATTTCTATAATTCACCCTTATCACTCTCTCTCAATCGGTCTCAATCGTTCTATCCCTTTGTTCGACAAAAACGCTGCACATCTTCGTGACGTTCCGTAAAAAAATTACCCTCATGCGCCTAAAGAAGTTTAACTTCAAAAAATGACAAACTTAATAAAATTTTCATAAAGGTCATTTCTTTGTGTGGGCTACTCGGAGGGCTTGATCGAGCTCCATAATTATGTTCAGCATAAATTGTTTGTTCGTCTTGATCTTCGAGAGAAGTTCAAAGTAATAATTCCTCCAAATGATGACTCCATAAAGGGTGATTTTGAAGTCAACTATCCTGAATTGTCAGTAACGTGTCTGAAGTACTCGCCCTCAGGTAAACTTCATATTTAATAAATAGCTGTAGTGAATGGAATGAAGTAGGTAGGAAATCTCCCCGAATCCTTTTAAGAGCTCTTGTTAACGAACGTTTTTGTCAACGGGTAACGGGCCGACGCAAAACGGCTACCTTTGTACACGATACGCTAAATATAACGTGAACGCAGTCCGTTTAGTCGATTTCAGTTCTATTAATTTGAAGGGAGAAGTTGGAGCGTAGTTGATTATTATTTATTAGAATGTCTCAAAATCTTCATTTAGCATTACGAAGATTTCTTTCCATGCCGCAAAATTTGCTTGTTTATTTTTGTAATTTTCTATAGTTTTGTCCCATAACATAGGCCTATTCGGAACAAGGCTAATTAATAAATCCATATCAATGGTTACGACTCCATATTCACAATGAGCAGAGCGGGTAGGTAGACAGAAAAAGTAATAACGTGCGCAAATCCGTCGTGTCAGCACATTCTATGAAATGCCGTAGTTCACTGCATCGGACAGTCCGTTGTCGACTGTCGTTAACAAGAGCTCTAACTATACAATAATCCGTATTTTATGCTTATAAAGTTTTAGCCAAGTAGGGCCTTTAAATTTTGTACCTAACATTTATAAATAATTTGAATTACCAACTAGTAAAACTTTTTTAACTCCATTGCTACGTAAAATTGTTAAAGAAGTATGTTTTATTATTGTCTTAATATGATAAGTAGAAAGTATTAATTTGTACAATTACAAAATTGATAAATATTTATTATAAATAAATCAATGGCGCTACAACCTTTTTAGGTCTGGGCCTCAGATTTCTGAATCTGTTTCATGATCATTTTTAAATCTAATATCTATAATCAACTAGGTGATCAGCCTTCTGTGCCTGACGCACGCCGTTGACTTTTTGGGTCTAAGGCAAGCCGGTTTCCTCACGATGTTTTCCTTCACCGTTAGGAATGAGAAAAAGAAAGTCCATTGGTGCTCAGCCGGGGATAGAACCTACGACCTTAGGGATGAGAGTCGCACGCTGAAGCCATTAGGCCAACACTGCTCACAAATAAAGAACATCTGTATAATTGCAAGTATAATAAACATTTTTATATGTATATCTTATTTATTATATACTTAGGCTAAAAAAAGTTTTGAAGAAATAATAATGTACTTTTATTTAAAAAAAGCGTCACTAATTTCGTACCATAACTGTTATATTTAAGGTCTACACTTGGCATGCGGACTTGACACGGGCGAGTTATTATTCTTGGACCCTATCACTATAGACCTCCTTACACCAATTCCCTTCAAAGACACCGAACACTCTATCAAGGAAATCAACTACAGCTGCGATTCTATAACCCTAGCATTTGCAGTGAGTTCTTTTCTATTGTTAATACATTTAATTGAGTGAACATATATGCCCCGGGCTTGCTTTACCCTTAGTAACATACGATAACGCTTTAAGCTCGCATACAGACGGAGAGTTAATTATCTGCTGTAAGATCTGCACGAACTCAGTTTCCATAATAAATCAGATCCGCATAAAATTGTATATATGGTACAGTCGACTGTTTAAACGCCGACCCGCCGCGCAGGACCGCTACAAGGTGACGTTCTCCCTCGAATAAATATAACTAATCTGAATACAGGAATTTGTAGAAAACACTATAGTGTTGTCCAAAAAAGTTTTCATCCTGTTCTCTGATTGGTTTTGGACGCATCATAACATGCTAAGGTTTCTCCTACGCCTCCGGTTGCGTAATAGTAGTACAACAAAAGTGCTTATCGAAATCATTTGTTATGCTCGCATCGTATTTTGCGCAAGCTCAAGAGTATAGTCACTGCAATATGGCGCGCTCTAGAGCAGTCGGTCTCGACTGCACTATGCGGTCCAATTCCGGGAAAAATACTAATTTTGAGTTGGATTGATAGAAGGCTGATCGAATACTTGCTCGAAAAACATGATCAATTATATATATGTCGCAGCCAACTTGCTTAATTAGCCGTTCAATCAAAAGCCTAGCAGCTTTACTAACGGCCTGAATGATATTCAGCCATTTCATCAAACAGTTAGGCAAATATTAAATAACTTGAATCGATGACGTTTCATTACCTGCCTAGGCTGTTCATTTTAATTTAGTTCCACTTTCCGCCACCTAACGCGGAAGCTTTCCAAACTGTCAATATGGCGTCGCTCATGACTTCCAAAACCAACAGCTTAATAATGTTACATTTACTAAGTCTAACATTTTCAATTTCAGGATGCAGGCAGAACTGTTTGCGTATATAAGTACGACTGCAATAATTTCCAATGGCAATTCATAGGAAAGCATAGAGCGCATTTCAAAGAAATCACCTCTGTATTCTTTTTACCCCAAAAGAATGCGAATGGCGAATACAAATTGTTATCCCTTGGTGCTGATAGAATGATGGTGGAATACGACATAGGAAATAGTTCAGATGAATATTTAGAAATACTTAGCTTGGATAGGTACTGCTTTTGATATTAGCCGATTAGATTTATTTATGAATCCGTACAACAATTGGTTAATTAACATTTCTTCATGTGAGTATAAGTTGTAAAAATTTTTGTGTTTTTATAGTGATCTAGTATTGTATTTTTTAGGGTAAAAGCCTCGTTTATATTTTTCCGTTTCTCGTTTTTTTTTCTCTGATTTTTTAAAACTAAACTATTTTGGACTAGACTTTAGTTCTCTTCATTTAAAAATTTATTTAAGTGTTCAGCTGAAAATGTCTTAGCTTTCTTCCCTTTATATCCTTGTGATTTACGTTTCAGAAATGATACAAGTTTTGAATATTTGGTAATATCAATTTCGTTGTAAATACTCAGTGTACTCATAGAGTATTTATACCATAAGGAGGAACACTTAAAGTTATCCGGTAACTCTTGAAAGTAGGCTAACAAAATGTTTTCGGAAAATGAGTTAGCGTTTTTGTTCATTTTCCAAGTCATAAAGTCTTGGTAACATTTATCGTACGCTTTTCTTGATTTTTCTGGCAAAAGACTATTCGACTGAGAGAATGTCAGGTGGAGTTAAATTTTCATCAGTATCGTCGGTGTTGCTTGACATTTTTGCTACTATAGTTTTATCCCAACAAAATATTACTCAAATAGCGCCAAAATGGAAAAAAGTCTGTTATTGGTCTTTGCTTGACCTGCGCTCACCAGAGGAAAGATGACTAAACTAATATACATATTTGGTAGTAATTATTTAATCACGCTAAAAAAAATTTTAAATAAATATATTTTAAGAATAATACTGAATTTAAGTAGAAGTAGTACAAAATTGAAGTTGTATGGTGTAGATTAGTATATTAAAATAAAATAATTTCAGAATAGACCAAATGGCAATTCCCCTTGCTGGCATCACCATGACCAACGCCTTGGAGGTAGCCTGTACAGCTATTTAGAACGATATTCCCATGATACTTGTTAAAAATGACGACATAATGAGGTCGGTCTCTGAGATCTTATTTGCAATCATATGATTTCTTACTTTTAAATAGACAGAGTGACCATAAGCTAATGAATACATCTCTAGATATTACAAAAATACCCTGCCATGGGTACATTGTGTTTAACAATATATGAATTTAAATACAGTTTACGTACACTGAACACAGTCCTTAAGAAGATTAGTAACAATACGATTCAAATAATTTTTCATAAAAATGGCTGTTCTTCCTGCATATTGTTTCTAAGCTTATGTACTTAACGTTGTAAACTTGTTCCCATGATACTTGGCAAGCTGATGTAGGATAATTTGAAAAATTTTAAACTACCGAAATGACAGCACCATTCGGGATGATTATTCTCCAGAAATCTAAAACATACCAGCCCTTTGCGATTAACATTATGTTGTAACTCATTACTGATAAAGTCCTTAATAAAACTAGAAGCATCCGACCTTTTCAGAATCCCAAATCATAAAATGTCTTCACTGCTTGACGAGCTAATTTTAGTAGCGGACCAGCCGTTTTTGTCCGCAGATATTTCAACCGATTGTGTGAAAGTTCGAACTGCACGGCGCCATGGTTGAGTTACAGAATCGCAGGGCTGGGCTCCACAAACACATACAAAAAAAAATCATTCCAATCGGTCCAGCTATTTAAGAGGAGTTCAGTGACATACACATGTACAGTAGAATTTAAGCTATCCTATGTTTTAAGTTAGATCATACTGCACACGGTGTGCAAATTTGATTGAAATCGGTTTAGTTTAGGAGTCCATAGCGGACAAACAACGTGACGCTCAATTTATATTAACTGAAAACTTATTTTGAACCAGCTTCATTTATTTCATATTATTTTTAATTCAGTATTTTAAATATAAGAATTTCAGCACAAATACAAGATAATTAATTATGCCACAACTATGACGTTATCAACCATACTTGGACCACGATTTGAACATCCGGTGTGTAGAATTGAACTAATTACAAGAAAAGGTGAAGAAGACGACCAAGATGAGAAATATTTACTTTTTGCCACCAAAAACGTCATCGGCCTACAAACGTTTCCATTAGATGGAAATCCTTGGAAACATGCTGGACTTTTGGGACATCCTTTACAGGTCTGAACATAAAACATGAGTTTTATAATCGGACGTCGAGGCAGAATACGAAATTCCATCCGTATCACCTCGACGTCCGTCGTTCCACAACTGAGCGTTTTATAAGGCAGTTTTTGCCACACACCACTACTATATGGAAGCAACTTCCCAGTGAAGTATTTCCATACCAATTCGACTTAGGGTCCTTCAAAAAAAGAGCGTACCAATTCTTAAAAGAACCGTAACGCACTCGCGAGCCGTCTAGCGTTGAGAGTGTCCATGGGCATATCACTTAACATCAGATGGGCATCATAGCCGTTTGCTTTCTGTTCTATAAAATAAAATCAATGACTATACAATAGTATCTACCCATGATGAGCGTTTTATTTAAGAAAACATACTGCGCGGGAATTATTATACACAGCTGTAGTCAATAGCAGAGCAAGGTGAAGTAAAATGCGTAAATATACCCTGTATTAAAAATAAATCGATTCTGTGCCTTCTATATTCGAAGGGATTTCGATTCAAATTCACTATACTATAAATTCTACAATAAAGATAGGTCCTTTATAGACAAGCTAGTAATTACGAAACATACTGAGACATGACTGAGACTGTTAATAGAAATAGGAATTCTTTAATTTTAGATTACTGGAATGTGTTTTCGCGAAGATTCCGGTACACTATTTAATATTGGAGCAAAGGATTCTTGTGTTTATCAGTGGGCGGCAAATTATAGGTATATTTTTATAGTTTTAAGCGTAACATTGTTTTTGCTTAAAGTCTATTATTAGTGTATTTGATTCACTTGGCGCTTACGCTATTCTTGCAGCCAGTAAAACTGTATAACAACGCTTTCTTATTTAAGCAGGATGAGTATTTTTAGTAGCTAAAGCGGAATACTTCGACATTAGAGTCTAGAAAATCTGGTTGTCACCGAGCCAAATATTATTTTTTTGTTGTCATAGCTGCTCCTTGCTGAGAGCGTTTTACTTTTCATTAAATAAAACATCGTTTGGTGTAAGTGTCAAACTCTACAAGAAGGGAAAATAAAAATACGTTATTATAATCATTTTGAAAAGTTTTTGGCTCTGGTGAACATTTTGGGACTTACAATTAATACCTAAAAAACCTTAAATATATCTCTTCTAAAAGTAATGTTTTTCTATGTTAAACATCTAAGAGCTGTAGAAACAACGACTAAACAAGGTGGTGGAGACCTGGATCCATATTACTGCTTAGTGGAGGACGGTAGACCTGGATGGCTCTTTCATGAAATTCGGGATCTGTTCTACTATATCCAGATTCTGTGTCAGGGCACCTTCTCACCAGAAATCCGTAGGGTGAAGGATTATGTTCCGATTGATTCGCTTCCGGATATGATGAGGGCTTTAGGATACTTCCCCTCGGAATACGAGGTATTGTTTATGCTGTTTTACATTGACAAGTTAAATTACTTTAATACGGGATTTGAAAGAGATCTTATCTGCCTATTATGATGTTAATATCAACATGATTATATTTCTATAGGTAGAATAGTAGACGGAGAAGTAGTAATTCTTCTTACTACAAAAATTATGCTTCTACATAGTTTGTTGTCAGTTCTTCTTGCTCGCTGATTTGGTAACTGGTAGTAAATGTAATTTAAGATCGTTTTTTTTATTATTGACGTTCATAGTATACATAGTTACCAATATGAATAAATAAATATTGATTGGATTTGGTGTCAAAATCTAACCAAACAATACCAAAGTGGTTAGTTAATTTCTAACATTTAAAAGTAAATTTGTTTAGTACCTGTACCAAATTTAAACTTCACTAATCCAACGGGCGGGTCATATACGCCTGCACATATCGCTGACTTTCTACACTGGTTTCCTTCTCCTTTGCCTTACGAGGAAGTCACAAACTGCATAGAAAGCAAAATCTATTGCTGCAAGGCCGGACTTCAAAAATTCAAAACTCAAAAATCATTTAATCATATAGGTAACAGAATGTACACTTATGATCGTCAAAAAAAAATGTATATGAAATTGTTCTAATTTTACATTTAGTGCCAGTTCTCAAATCAAGGGCGTAGAAGGGAAGAGAAGAAGTGGCAATAAACTCTCTTTTTAATCGCCATGTTTTTTTTTTACACAACGTTTGTAAGGAGCTGCAACCATTACACCATGTTCTACGTGACATCTTAAGTAATTAATAATAATAACAAAACCATAAAATAAAGACTTGTCCTCTATCAGCAGGAGGCATGGTGAAATAGGAGCACACACTTACATTCTCGTGGGAACAACACGCAAACACATAGTCGAAATAATTAGCATCACCGCATACGCGAATTCAAGTACGACCAGTCACCACAAGTAGCACCCGTTCACGAGTATGACGCATGGCCAGCCATCGGCCCCCTCGCCATATTTACAAACGCACCTACCATAGACCATACAAATTTAATTCATAGTGAACTATTCATTGCATAATAACTTTTTTCTTGGCAAGGAGTGTTACGTAATGTAAACAATTGTGAATGTTTTTATTATAGGTAGAAAATTTGATAGTTGAAGCGAAGTTCAAAGTGTTCCAACGTGTCCCGTCAATCGAGATTGATTTTGAGGAGTTCTTCAAATTGTATATAAACCATAGACCAGCCTTCCCGGACAGTGTAAAGAAAATCAGAAATGCCTTTAGACAATTCGCAAGACCGAATCAAAATGACGAATTTGTTATTAACCGTGATGATTTTTTGGATTTGCTTAATCAAAATGGTGACTGTTATACATTGTTTGACATATATATCTTGATATCTACATAGTGAGCAGTGATGGCCTAGTGGCTTCAGCGTGCGACTCTCATCCCTGAGGTCGTAAGTTCGATCCCCGGCTGTGCACCAATGGACTTTCTTTCTATGTGCGCATTTAACATTCGCTCGAACGGTGAAGGAAAACATCGTGAGGAAACCGACATGTCTTAGACCCAGAAAGTTGAACGTGTGTCAGGCACTGGAGGCTGATCACCTACTTGCCTATTAGATTTAAAAATGATCATGAAACAGATTCAGAAATCTGAGGCCAAGAGTAGCACCACTGATTTATTTTTTACATACCATATAGAGAGTATATGATTGGTTACATTTCTGAAATCGAGAAAAGAGCGTACCAATCCTTAAAACGCCGGCAACGTACTCGCGAGCCCTCAGGCATTGTGAGAGTCCATGGGCGGCGTAATCACTTGACATTAGATTAGCCTCTAACCATACAGATAGGTTTAATAATGATCATAGTTTTTATTAACGATTAGACTGTATATAACTTTTTATAAAACAGGGACACTCTCAATGCCAGAGGGCTCGCGAGTGCATTGCCGGCCTTTTAAGAATTGGTCAATATCTGATACAACATTTTTAAGCAGTTTTGCCCAAGACTACGAAGGGCAGCCTGTGCGTCCCATTACGTCTACCACCGAATGCGGTACCCCCCTGGGGTAACCTCTGTTCAGTTAGAATTTATCGATCGATACCAAAAACTGAAACAAATGCGACAGTGCAAGCTTAAAAGTTCAATGACATAATTTAATTGTATGTTTGGTAGGTGAACATTTTTCTCGAGAGTTGTCCTGGTACTTGTTATCAATACTTTATGGTCAATCGTTTGAGGACCGAGCCGCTTTGCCCGAACCGGATTTCGAATTTATTCCCGAGGTAATATAATTTGTATAAACCAGTTCTCTTATACACAATTAAGGCTTTCGGCTTTAGTGATGCCTGGATAATAATATTATTTGCGCTACTTGAAAGTCTTGGATTTCTCTACGTTACACTTATTTAGTCAAATAACTTTTAGCTTGTTGTGGGGATCTGCAAAATTACAGATGTATAGTCGAGTTTAGAGACTTGTTTTTAGGTCCACTTAATAAACCAGTCACACCAGACACCAGTCAACTTCATAACATAACTAAATGCTAAATCTTTAGATTAGCTTAGATCTGATATCTTGATTACTTATAATTGAATTGGATTCTTTAAATATAGAAGAGAAAATAATATATAAAGTAACTAGCTGACCCGGCAAACGTTGTTTTGCCATGTAAGTATATTATTTTTTGTTGGAAACATTTTAGTCGTTCATTAAAAATAGCCATCTACTACAATAAAAAATAGGGGTTGATCGTAGAGGTGTGACAATTAATAATGGATAGATAGCGGACTACAGTCTATTAAAGTATTAAGTGTTTATAAGTTACTAGCTGTTCCCTGCCACGCTTCGCTGTAGCACATTGTGATTGAATGGTTGAGAAATGAGAAACAAAACAAGGAAAACATTTCATATAAGTTTAATTTTGCAATACTTGTGGAAAAATACAATGAAAAAAAAATGAAGAAGTATCTAAATGCAATCCTTGATGCGGATTTTATGTCATGCTGAAATTACAGCTCGATCGGTGCAGAACTTTTTGAGTTTTTGAAGCGTACACAAACCAACATAACCTTTTTATATTATATATAAGTATACAAAAATTCCATATAGTCCAGTCTAGTTCCATATATTTAAAACAATGTCTTAGTTATAATAATAATTATTAAGGCACTTAGTCCATATAGTTATTATTGTGTTAGTTACAATATTGTCTGAAATAGTATTGATATTAATTAAAGAAAAATAATTTTGTATAATTTGCAAAGCGATATGATGGTAGTAAATGTAAATTTAGAATCAATTTAACATCTTTTCTGTTGACGTTCATAAGTGTACTTGGCTACTTATATGAATTAAGTCATTTTGAGTTTGAGTTTGATATGAATCTTCTCCTTTGAGATAGAGATGTTAGAGAGGGCGCCTTCCATTAGACCAAGAAGTTGGAAATCTTCCTTTACCTACATGGGGTTAGGGTTAGGGTTGAAGGACTCCTTTCTCCGCAATTAGACTCGAGGTTGGTCCGTTGTGCGTACCTTTACCTACATTTAGTTGATGGTTTTGTTTCTAGGAGATAACATTGACGGAGCTGCTGACTAATATTATTGGTGTTCAGGATATGGAGACGTTTTCAGATTACTCTACTAGGGAATCTATGGTTTCGCAGATTGCCACTTCGTCCGAGTCTGAAGACGCCTAAATAATTAAAATTATTTTATGTATAATAAAATTGGTTTTTGGATTATTTACCAAAGCTTTGTTTCATAAAATTATTATAATTTACATTATACCTTACTTCAAACCTACCCATATATTATATATAAATAGTATTATATATTAATAAATTATTAGTGAATTTACCTATAAAGCTTTCGACACGTGAAATAGATGCATAATTTCCGATAGATTACAAAATTTTGCACTGGCTGGTAGCGTTAATTATAATTATTTATCAATGAAATGTCGATAACAATATAAAAATATTTTTTAATCTTCGTTTATCAGAAGTTTTATGTTTACGTCAATAATATTATATTGGAATAAGGAAAGGAATCGCAAATTTTGATTCGCAATTGTATGGACATTGACTTACGTGAACTCGTATAAGGTCAAGGCTTATCAAAAAATCGCTTGTTTTGCGAGAGTGCCAGACAGAAAGTGTTGTGATTCTAGTGAGAATGGATATCCCGTTTCAAATCGAAGATGTCGAGAAAAATCTCGCGAGTGAACTTATGCAACATTATACAGGTATTTAGAATTGTATATAATATTAAAAATATTTTTAAATAGCTTCACTTTGCGTTATGGAGTTATATTTTTTAATTTTATTGATAGGAATTACTTGGTTATTTTAATGTTTTGGAAAGATATAGAATCGAATATTTAATTTTATAGCATATTGAATTTTATTCAAAAATAACAAACAGCATTGTGAAAATTGTAGCTTAAATGAAATTTTAAATTTTTCGTTTGTGGAACGCCACTTCCCCGAAACCAAATTAATTTTGATAATTTAAATAATATACGTATAGTTACTTCATCAATAGGTACTCTATTAAAAGGTTAAAATATTTTGTTTTTTTTTATTTAAACTAATAAACTACTGGACCGATTTCAAATATGCAACACTATTGCTACATTATCACGTAATTCATTCAATAACAGGCAATATTTCCAAAATATTTAAAAGCCATGCGAAACGGGTTGCTCATACATTTTGCATAACGTGTTGTTTCAGGGGAGTTATCGGGCTTTGTCCGAGTAGGACCAAAGGGCTATTTTCTCCCTCAGAAGTACAAAGATCAAGCATCTGATATTTATAATATTCCGATAAGACCCGATGATGTATTTGTGGTTACTTACCCAAGATCAGGTAAACGAATTTATATATAGTTTATATATTAGTACTGCTTGTCTTATTCATAAACGTTATAAGCCTATGAAGGTCCCACTGCAAACACCAATCTTTCTTTTCATTTTGTTCATACCAAACGGTAACTATTATACTAAGTAAGTAAGAAATGCGCAGAGTTCTTCTAAAATGTGCCACAAAGAGCATGCTGATTTAGCTGTTAGTTTTTCATGTTCGTAACACATAACGCTATGTGCGTAAAACATATAACTGCGAAATGGTTGCGTAGGGTTCGTACAGCTTGCCAGCCAGTGGACTGTGATTTGTATTTAAGTTTGTATGTTATAAATGTCAGGAGTATCTGTAAAGTATATGTAGTATATGTATTAGCAAGCTGCCCTGCGATTCTGTAACTCACTTTTCGAACTCACACAGCGGTTTTCGGATCGCCGGTCGCTCTGAAATCAGTCGTGAAGCAGTCATTTTATGATTTGGCATTCTGAAAAGGTGGAAGCTTGTAGTTTATTGTTTATTAGAATGCCAAATCATAAAATGACTGCTTCACGACTGATTTCAGAGCGACCACCGATGCGAAAACCGCTGAGTGAGTTCGAAAAGTGAGTTACAGAATCGCAGGGCTGCACTAGATAACTAAATATATGAGAGGGTTAAATGTAAGAACCTAACAACACTACGGATAAATAGTAAGTACGGGATATCTGAACCAAGAGACCTAAGGTAACTGACGGATCCCTACAGGTAGGATCAGTTCAAGGAGGTGGGAATATCTAAAAGCTATCGGGCAGCCTCACCACGATAATTAACGGCTTCGCCACTTTAAGATCAAGCGGGAAATGAATATGATACACATTTTCCTCAACTGAGCGTTTTTTACAGCAGGAGTATTTTGAGTTTGAGTTTGAGAACCAGCTGTCCACTGAAGTATTTCCGAACCAATTCGACTTAGGGTCCAGTGGTCTCGAACTATATCGCTTATTAATAAAAAAGTCAACCACTGTCAAGCAATTTTTAATTTTTATCCATTATTTTCAAATTTAAAGTCGCTATTGGTTAATGTTTAACATCTTTTTTTTTAATTTTACGGACGTCATTTGTTTATTATTGTAGTTTTGTGGTCAATACGAATCCCAAGTTTATCTTTCGTAATGCAATTGAAACAAACGCTGTAAACGAGATCTATTAAAAAGGACACAGATTTGTATTAATTTATGCAAATTTGGAGAGAAAGTAAATTTATTTCTAGAAAATCTTAATTAACCAATTATATATGTAGGTGAATAACTTTCTATGTTCGCGAAATTGATGCAAATTTAAAGCCAATTTTAGACATATATATATATATTATTTTACAGGCACCACATGGACGCAAGAACTCGTTTGGTTAGTAAAGAACGATTTCGATTTTGAAACAGCAAAAACTACGCCGATTGCCGCTAGGTTCCCGTATTTAGAGTAAGTAAAAATAATTATGAATACAACTTTTATTTGTCAGTAAGCCACTTAGCTATCAAATATAGCATTCGGTCACCGATCAACTATAAGCATCTAATAAAACCTAAATTTAACGTAATGAAATGAAAAGGAGGGCAACTGGCAGCCTTAACGCTTTCGAGCGATCTCTTCCAGGCAACCACTGTGAGAAAATTTTTATTAAATTAGATAAGGTAAGTAAGAAGTGCAAAAATACATTATACATATTATATTTATTAAGACAAAACTAAACGAAAGAAGGAAACTAAAATAAAAAGTGCACATGAATCACGTTAATTTTAGATCAGTCTCACGTCAGTTAGTAGTTAGTACGAAAGTTAATTAAGTGGACATGTTTGTACAGTAGAAATTTAAAGACTTTTTACGGCTCATTGGTCTAGTGGTTAGTACCCCTGACTGCGAATCCATGGGTCCCGGGTTCGATTCCCGGCTGAGACGAACATCGATGTGATGAGCATTTGGTGTTGTGCTTAGGTCTTGAATGTTTAAATATGTATTTATATGTCTATCTATCTATAATAATATGTATGTATATCCGTTGCCTAGTACCCATAACACAAGTTTCACCAGCTTAGCATGGGACTAGGTCAATTGGTGTGAATTGTCAAAAAAAAAAAAAAAAGACATTGAAGGAGCTAATCGAATAGGGACGGGAAGTGAATTCCATAGTCTAACTGCAGAGACCTTAAAGGATCTTTATACCCGTTGCTTACTTCCAAAGAAGCGCCAGTTTGCATTTAAAGATTCATACAAATTAAACAACACAAAGAAGGTAAAATTTGTAAACTCGTTTTTGATGTGTACGTTTGTACAGCTAAGTTAGGCAACGTTTGTAATTAAAACTCCACAAAATCACAGATTTTCCATTCTGGTACATCCGTTCTACGAACAAATTATGAGAGATGAAAATAAAATGGACCCTCAACGCCTTAAGATCATTGAAACAGCAGTGTTGCCAAGTGCGGAGAAGGTGTCTAAAATACCATCACCGCGTTTCATCAAGAGCCATCTCCCATTGTCTCTGCTACCACCTACCCTACTGGATACGGCTAAGGTGGTGTACGTGGCCAGAGATCCGAGAGACGCCGCGGTATCGCATTACCATCTGAGTCGATTGTATCGTATACAAGGCGCACCCAAGGATTTTAAAACGTATTGGAACTATCTTATAAGGGGCTTACGTAAGTAATTTGATATCGTGTAACTTTTTATTAAAAATAAATAAAAAAATAAATAAATGGCGCTACAACCTTTTTAGGTCTGGGCCTCAGATTTCTGTATCTGTTTCATGATCATTTGGTAATCTAATAGGCAAGTAGGTGATCAGCCTTCTGTGCCTGACGCACGCCGTAGACTTTTTGGGTCTAAGGCAAGCCGGTTTCCTCACGATGTTTTCCTTCACCGTTCGAGCGAATGTTAAATGCGCACATAGAAAGAAAGTTCATTGGTGCACAGCCGGGGATCGAACCTACGACCTCAGGTATGAGAGGCGCACGCTGAAGCCACTAGGCCAACACTGCTCTTTTTATTTTAGTCACTCTTCAAAAATAAATGTTTGAAAACTGAATTCGGCATAAAACTACATTACCAGGACATTTCTGCCGCATTTAACAAAAATAGAATTTCTGAACAGATTTGATTTATAAATTGTAGCTAATAATCATAACGAAAGCTCTCTAATTATAATAATCACGCCCTAATCGGTCGGTTTAAATACAAAGACTTGTTAAACTTTTAAGATTCCTCTGTTTGCGCTGGGTATTAAATAAGGCTGGAATTGATTTT